TTTTTTTTTTTGGTCAGAGTCTCACTCCGTTGCCCAGGCTGGAGTTCAAGTGGCATGTTCACAGCCACCGCAGCCTCAACCTGCTGGGCTCAGGTGATCCTTCCACTGCAGCCCTCCAAGTAGCTGGAACTACAGGTGCGCACCACCATGCTGAACTAATTTTTTGATTTATTGTAGAGACGAGTTCTTACCATGTTTTCCAGGCTGTTCTTGAACCCCTGGACTTAGGCAACCCTCTCGTGTTCACTTCCCAAAGTGCTGGGATTACAGGTATGAGCTACTGCACCCGGTTTCCTTCCCTATTTTTAAGTCAAAACAAAGCCAAGTTTGGAGTGAACCAGCTCTTCTTTCTGTGCACTTATCTCAAAATTTGGGGACCACCAAGTTGGCAGTGTCAGGAAGTACCAGCATGGGACTCATCTCCAGGTCCACATACCAGTCAAGAAGGACATGGCAGCAGTTGGCCAGAGCCTAGGACTGGTACACCAGCGGGTCAGCACCAGGCCAGAATTAGTATTGTCATGCCCGGCTCTCAGACTAGCTTTAAGAGGGACCTTCACTCCTGGTCTCCATAGTAGAACCAAAGGTCACATGGCAACAGCAAGACGAGTGTTATGGCTGCAGGAAGCGGGCACCAGTTTGGCCAAGAACTCTCACTCCTCATCCCTATACCTAAAGCAAAACAAGCACTGTACCCAGGCCTAAAAAAAAATAAATGGGATTATTTTCTAATGAGTGGGTTTTCACACTCATGTGTGAGATGTGCCTCCCTCAAACCTTCTTATGTCATCAGCAAATTACCCATCTTTTGTGAGAAAAATAAATAATAAAAATTAGTACAGGCCGGGTGCAGTGGCTCACGCCTATAATCCCAGCACCTTGGGAGGCCAAGGTGAGAGGATTGCCTGAGCCCACAGGCTTGAGACCAGCCTGGGCAACTTGGTGAGACCTCATCTCTACAATAAAACAAAAAATTAGACAGACGTGGTGGCATGTACCTGTAGTTCCAGCTACTTGGAAGGCTGAGGCAGAAGGATCACCTGAGCCCAGCAGGTGGAGGCTGCGGTGGCTGTGAGCATGCCACTGCACTCCAGCCTGGGCAACAGAGTAACTCCAACTCAAAAAAAAAAAAAAATTAGTACAAAGATAGCATATATGCTGGGCAACCCTCTCGAGTCCCCTCCCACTCTGGGAGCTTTTCTGTCCTCTCAATAAATCCTGCTTTCAAAAAAAAAAAAAGATAGCATATATGCTAATCAATAGATTCCCCTGAGTATCTATCTACAATTAAAAATAAAGTATTGGCTAGGCTCAGTGGCTCAACCTGTAATCCCAGCACTTTGGGAAGCCGAGGTAAGAAAATTGCCTGAGCCTGCAGGTTTGAGACTAGCCCGGGCAACTTGGCAAGACCTTGTCTCTACAATTAAAAAAAAAAAAATAACCCATGCATGGTAGTGCACCTGTAGTTCCGGCTACTTGGAAGGCTGAGGCGGAAGGATCGCCAGAGCCCAGCAGGTCAATGCTGGGATGGCTGTGAGTGTGCCACTGCACTACAGCCTGGATGACAGAGTGAGACTCCAATTCAAAATAAATACATAAATAAAGTGGGTCCC